TGCGTTTTGCCAGTCATTATGGCACGTTGTCAGAAGCATATAGACGTCTTAGGCCGCTATGACACTTAGAACGTGTAGATTTGCTGCACACGGCCCTGACTATGGCATAGAACATAAGAGAACCTTCCGGGTGACATTGACAATCAAAGTATATAGATTCACAGGTTCACCTCGGGCCTTATCCCGTCTACCAAGCACCAGGGGAGCACGACCTTGTAGCTTAGGTCGGGTCACGCTGCAGCTTGCGACCCTGGTGCTGGCCTTCGCGGAGGCGGGGTAAGCGATGCAACAACATTTTGTATTCATTCAATCGCATAAGGCCTCGAAAAAGTTCCAGAGTGCTCTTGAACGCAACAGGATAGAAACCTATCATAGGCTGTGAAAAGGGCATCTGACTTTCTGGCCCTACCTCTGGTGGCATCCTCACACGCACCTGAAGTACTTGTGTAAGACCTCCATTTCAAGGAGAGTCCGGTGCCAATGCTCCGGGGCTCAGCACGCGGCTTGGCCGAGCTGCCCAGCTGCTTGCTTCGCCAAAGGTAGCCGTTTCTTTTGCTTGGGCGGGGACGGATCGGATTCGGAGTGAGGGAATTTTTAGTGCCTATAGATTGAGAATGCTGAGATATAAAAATGTTCAGGTCACGAGCTTAGGGCTTAGGGTCGTTTAAGAGGCTTAGGCAGCATGGCCTTTTGCAATTTCCTCTGGTTCTTGAAGCAGACAGGTTGTGCGGAGAAGCCCAACTTCCACTTGGCTCGCGCTTCGTGGCATTTGGGTTGCAGGTAGAAGTAGTTTTTTATGGAATGAATGTCCTGAACGGATGGTATTCATGGCCCAAGGGCTTAGGGAAAGTCTACGGCAATCTATAACTGACAAGGGTCTGTGCCACAAGCAAGGTGTGGCGAGCAGAAGGAGCCGGTCGCATGCGCCAAGGACTCGGATGGTCCCAACCCCGTTTGGGATTGCCACCTTCAGGTGGATGGGTTCTGCTCCTTGGGTGGGAGCCCCTGTGCTTGGCCCGCAGGCGCTCCAGCAAGGGAGGTTTCAAGTGTCTCAACCAACAACAACCAGGGATCGGGATCTCCCACACGATTTGTGACATGGAATCTCTACGTCTTCACGCTCGCGGGCCGCATCCATCCCGTTGTGGATGAGCTGATGCGAATGCAGCCGGAGATTGCCGCCATTCCGGAGATGTGGCACGAGAAGGGCGCCATCATTGATCTGTTGACTACGTGATCACCGAGGCTGTCG